GCTGCTTCATGGAAGAACAACCTCAGATTAGCCTGTTAGCTTTAGCGCCGATGCTATATTGCCTTATATGTATTAGCTGAACTCTGACTGGTTTTTTTGTTTCTGACTGATAGTGACTCAAAATCTAAAACATCAGATTCCTCTCCACAGTCTGGGCTGTAGAGCATTTTAGCTTAGCTCAGTTTTCATGCAGACATTCCCCTATGACATCACTTCCTGTTACTTCACATGCAAATATCTCAACAACTGTTCATCTCAGAGGCATGAAAATTATTTTGTAATATGATCTCAGTGTTATCTTTCCAAAAATAGATTTGCATTATTACAAAAATTTTGATGTCACAGGTACTTTAAATTGTTGTAAAACTGAAGCAATGCATTCTGGGTAGGCTACAGGACGAACAGGAACTCTTGTTCCTTTCAAAATAAGAGCGTGAATTAAAACTGTTTGGTGTGAGCTTCAGTTCGACATGAGACAGCYGGTTGGTGGTGAAGAGTCACAAATTATAATTCCTCCCTCTAAAAGCTCATAAGTTTATAATAATTTAGCTCCAATTGCTTCCTGCCACACAAAATGTTGTGGAAACTGTCTGCTAAATTAAAACTGTCACGAAGAAGTACGGTCAGTGAGAATATAAAGCTCTGTGAACACACTGCTGCCTGAGGGGGCGCTGTGTTAAGAAAAGATGGCTTTCCTCCAATGTTGAAGCAAATGATGATGAAACTTCAAACATTATTTGCGATTAGCACTACTCAATTCTAAATTTAGAAAGTGCAAATCAGAATCAGAATCATTTTATGATCCCAGGGGGAAATTGCAATTATTACAGGTCTTTAGGTCCAAATGAGCACTTTTGCCCTTTAGGGGACTAACGGCCAGCACTCATCAGAAGCTCACATCATTCAGGCTCAGCTCGCTGATGGGAACCCTCAGCACGGTGTCGAGGCAACCCAAAGCCTCGGTCCACAGCGTCTCCACAAACACCGCCACTTCCTGTGACACGCTTTCTGTGTTCAGCTTCTCCTCCAGCAGCAGCTGTCAATCAAACAGAAGAGTCGTCCAATCAGAACACCAGAGGAGCAGGAACAGAAACAAACTGCTGTGTGTCGTACCTGCTGCAGGGGGGCGGAGCCGAGGTGATACGCCTCTGGAGGAATGCTGCTCCTCCTCTCCAGGTGAGAACAGTCCTGTTCTGTCAGAGACTTGTAGACCTGCAGGGCTTTCTCTGAGGTGGACAGAAAGAACATCTGATCCTTCACCGCCTTCTTCTGTTGGAGCCAAGCACACAGAGAGCTTCAGACAGGACCTTTTAAATAAAGAAAACACACCACAACTCTGCTACAACACCACCACAACACCGCCACAACTCCACCACAACACTACCACAACACCACCACAACTCTGCTACAACACCGCCACAACACCACCACAACACTACCACAACACCTCCACAACACCACCACAACACCGCCACAACATCACCACAACACCGCCACAACATCACCACAACACCGCCACAACAATGCCACAACATCACCACAACTCTGCTACAACACCTCCACAACACCACCCCAACACCTCCACAACACCACCACAACACCTCCACAACACCACCACAACACCTCCACAACACCACCACAACACCGCCACAACATCACCACAACACCGCCACAACATCACCACAACACCGCCACAACACCACCACAACACCTCCACAACACCACCACAACACCTCCACAACACCACCACAACACCGCCACAACATCACCACAACTCTGCTACAACATCACCACAACACCGCCACAACAATGCCACAACATCACCACAACTCTGCTACAACACCTCCACAACACCACCACAACACCTCCACAACACCACCACAACACCGCCACAACATCACCA